CACTTGAAGCTGCCCTCTGTAAATACTAAGTCTGTGATTTTGTTTTTCTGGCACACTCACTTGTAACTAAAACACAACATTTGAAGCATTAGCTGCTTAAGTGAAATATAAATGATCCAATAATACTGTTTTAAAGGAACAACGGTGTCAGTTTATCATTTTTTTTTAAGATCTTATTCTTCGTGCTGGATGTCTTTAGTTCTGAACAGTTCTGAACTTCAGCTCTCAGAGACACAGACCGGACTGTACAGTATAGAACTGTTTTCACAGGATGAGTAGGACTCAGGAAAATAGGACTCAGGACTCTGAATATCAGAATAGTTGCTGGTAAATCTTCAGTTGATCAACTAATCGATTCATCGACATATTGTTGCAGCTCTAGATTTATAGATAATATCAAAAATTTATTTCAGCAATATTGAAATGCATCAACCAACCAATTATTCAGTGCAAACGACATTGATGTAAGTAGATCCTACAGGTGTGTTAGTGCCGGTTCTTCAGGAGAAGGACAATAATGAACTTGTGTTAATGGTCAGTTGTGATGTCCTTGCTCTCGTCCACATTAGAACTTCGGCATAAAATTCATGCCCGCAGGCGGTGCGTGGTGACATCATCTTGGCACTGAGGTCCCACGAGCCTGCGTGGCTTGCTTGGCTCCGTCTGAAGCGCCCTATTGGTCTGCTGTTTGTTTATATCAAGGCACAGCAGAATTAATGCAAAGTGACTCGGGCTGCGGTGGGTGGGAGGGCGGGGGGGCAATGAACCAAGGCTGCATGTCTACACGTACATATTTAATATACAACATCACAGCCACAGACACAGTGTAGTCTTTTGCACATGTGCAAACAGTACATACAATTGTCCGTAAAACAATGCCAGGATGACGAGCGTGGTCTATTCTTAGGTTGCTTTAAAATAACAAATGAAAACCTGGCTCTGCCGTCATTCAAAGTAGGGGTGTATACAAGTATAGACAAATGAAATACTGATACCATGTTAATAATACACATATACGATAATTTCCCATAAATAATCCAGCACCATTTAAATAATTGCAGGCATGGTTTGAGATTCTCTATTTTGAGCGTAATTAATTTGCAAAAAAAGAGGCAAATCGCACAACAAACATTTATTTTTCTAATTTTCTACAGCTACTGCGATAAAACCGTTGCTGTGAATTCCTTTGGCCCTGATAATTGTGTGGTGAAAATCTAACATTGTGACTTAATTCAAAGGGTAACATGCATTATAGCAGCCAGCTGTTCGGCAGAGATTTCCAAGTGTGCCTTTTCTCAGTCTCTTTCTCAGACGCAGACAGAGGCCAGATGCAGTGCGGGGAAGGAAGACTATATCTGTACCAGCAAGTGTGAATGCTCCAGGCACAGAAAGGGTGGTGAAGTCTCAGTCTGAATATAAATTGGGTGTAATTCTGAAGGTGTCAAGCTAAAAGGTGAAAGTCTGAAGTTGCCTTATTACACTTTGTGCAAGTGCATGGATACGCTGCTTTATTGTGTGTGGTGGGTCCTCTACGGGAGAAGAGCAAATCATCTCCCGGTGGCGGGGGGGGGGGGAAAGACTTCTATAATCTCACCATCGTGTTCAGAGAGTTGGCCTACGGCACCACAGTGTGTCCACATCTGAGTGTTTGTTTGTGTTTTTTTTTTGTCAGGGAAGGGAAAGCAGCTTGGGAAAAGGCAAACAAAATAAAACAGCTTTGCACCAAAACTCAACTCTTGATAATTGACAGTCTAACAATGTTTCAATAACTATTTCATTAGTCCGTTGTTTTGAGTCTGAATTGTTCACTCAAGGGGCTAATTTATTTTTTTTTCCCATTACCACAACGAAAGGACGTGTCGTCCTAGAGGGTAACAGACTTTCAGTATTCTTCAGTGGTTGTTAATTCAGATGTGCCCTTTTAGTGAATTATTTATTCATAAAAGACAGAGACATTTCAGTATTTAGGAAGGATAGTGGTTACGTAAGCAAGCCCATGCACATCACTTTTCATTTATTTGGTTAATAAGACCTCTTCTCAGGACTGTTTTATAGCAGCTGTTAGGATGGGACAACTTAAACCTTTATGATTCTTATTGGTACGTTAACTTTGCTCCAGGAGTGGGTGTAAAGGAACTGTTTAAGAGCTACAAACCAAAAATACACTAAATGATTTCTGAACCTCACTAAGTCAGTCTCCGGCAGTACATTTTACATTTTCTGTGGGCCCTTTTCACGGAAGGCAACTTGACATGTCGCAGTAGGAAAAGCACAGGTTTAAATGATATAGTTAATGATGGCTGAGTTCCATTTAGCTGCTTCACTTTCAGACTCCTGGTGGAGGAAAATTCTCAGATCTTTACTTCAATAAAAGGATTCAGGAATCAAGAATAATTTAAATGTCCTTCCAACCTCTCCGGGTAACGGGTTTCACTATTACACAAGGTTTAACCATGACTAGTTCAAAGTCCAAAAGACTAGCCTGAAAATGAAGAAAAACCTGAAACGGTTGCATGAGGGTCTGTGGAGCAGAGCCGGATAATTGTCGGAGCCGGCCGAAGCTACGCTGTGATTTGGCAGTCTGTGTTCGAGGGCGGGTCTTAGCAAAGGGTCAATTCATGATGACCTTTCTCCGATTTTGGAATTCTTCATTCACTGTGGAGACTGTCCAAGTTCTCTTCACAAATGTACATGGGGTGAGTAATTTACATACAAATGGTCATTTTTGGGGTGAAGTATTTCCTTTTGAATTAGATTGAAATGATGTATGCTGAGGATGGACTTGTCCTTTGAATCTATTCAATATTTAACACGAGACCTTTTTTAAAAAATGCTTCGATTTCAGTTTTTATCATTTTGATAAAGCACAAATCAACAAGAAGAGCAATGATGAAAAACCCACAAGGCCACCGGTGCTGTTCCCCGCTCTCCCTTAGCACAGCAGGTCACAAATGCAGCTCGACACCAACGGGTAGAATGAACTGGCCGAGCAACTGTAACGACTTTAGTGTTCTTGAACTCTGACATCTTGTGTCATGCTGAGGAAGAGGCACACGCAGCGCCTCCGCATAGCCTGTTGTCAGGCTGCATCCACGAGACTGCGGTGAGGTGAAGAGACAGGCAACACGCCAGCGGAGCGTCCCCAGCCACATGACTCAGCCTGTCCCTACGTGTTAGCCCCGGTCCAGTCAGGGCCGTGAGGGAACAAGGCCGTTGGTATTGAATCACTGACACACTGGACAGTCCCCGGATCAAGCGTGATGATGGTGGAGAAAGTGGAGGATGGATGTTGCCATGTTCTCCCTAGGAGTGCTAGTGCAGGGGGTAATGTGCGTACACACTGATCTACAGCATAGACTGTAAGAAGTGAACGTATTCACCTTGACGTCACCCATTGGTTTGTGTACTGCCGTATTTGGTCGTCACCATCTTGGCTTTTTGCAACCAGAACTGACACGAGAGGATGGAGCTCATTTTTGGCCAAGCAAATGAACTTTCGTGAGCTGAATACAGACTGTGAAAGGGTTAAAGTTGTAAGGCAACACCCAGACTGGACAACGCCTTGGTAGTGTCAATCACAAGGTATAGCCACGCTCTAAAGTATACCGTGCATTATCATCTATTTTATTCTAAATGGGACCATAATTTACGAAATGAACAACATATTGTATTTGAGAATACTTGAAACTGTACCTCTTTAATTACTAAAATATCCCTAAAGCAGTTTTTGTCAGATGGACACCAGATCTTCTGTTGGCGCAATCTTAATAACTACCATGAGCAACATGCAAAATCGGTTGTTGTACTGCATCCAGTAGTATAAGGAACAGTGAGTCAAAAGGATACACAAGCTGGTCTAGTGGGGTTAGGATACATCATTTCTTGAGCATTATGACTTATTGGCAGTAAAAAAAAACACTTCACCAAGAGAGCTTATCACGAATCCATATATCTCCCCACTGGCTTCGCTGACCATTCATCCACAAAGGTGATACAGCTGACGAGAGAGCAGCAGAAACTGATGATGGCATTGTGCTTTTCACAATACAAGCGAGATTTAAGGTCTCACAAAGATGGCTCCCCGCCACCTCCTTGTAATCATGTCATTTATTGCATTCACTGAGATTTTGAGAGCATACCAGGTCAGAGCCCTCCTTATGCCAGCATGACAGGATTGTAGACGTGATGTTGTATAAAAGGAATATTGAATCCGTTAACCTACTTTGTTCACAATGATGCATAAACATGCCACCGTCTACCATGCAAGTCCACATTTGAAAATATTTTCTCTGACATCTTTGTTTATTATAGTCAGTAAAAGTTTTCAGAGAGGTTCTGGATTAGTGTGTTCAGACTGTAGCCTCAAGGAGGAGTTCAGCAAGTACAAATAACACTGTTTATTTTTAGTGAGCAGCTAGCAGTAGTTATTGACAGTCACTGTGTTTAATAGACACTGACCTGAGACCATGGCTCTAGGGATGTCTACCAATCGGCCTGTTGTGCACAAGTTTGGTCCAGATTGAAACAACTTGATGGATTGCCATGGAATTTGGTACAGACATTCCTGTTCCCATCAGGATGACGCCTAGTGACTTTGGTGATCCCCTGACTTTTCCTTTAGCACCATCAGCAGGTTCATTTTGGGGGCTTTTAGTGAAATCATCACCATCATCAGGTCTCAACTTACGTACTTACTTATGTACGTAACAGTGAACCACCACATCACCTGCAATCGAGACAGAAGACCATGACATTTAGGAACAACACTGATCCTGTAAAGTCGGGTAGGTCTTAATTTACTGTTACAATCATTAAAAAGCAAAAGCAGCATGTGTATAAATAGCTTCAGTAGCTTGCGTAGCATAGAAGTGCTCACTGCATTAAAGTCTACGGAGCAGAGCCGTATCGTTGTTGCACCCTGGTCGGAGCTGGACGATGCTACACTGTGATTGGCCAACAAGGTGGGACTTAGCGAACGGTCAGTTAGGTACTAACATGGTGAACATGGTAAACGTTATACCTGCTTAACATCAGCATGTTAGCATTGTCATTGTGAGCACAGCTAAGCTCTGAGTGCAGCCTCACAGAGATACTCCAATGGCTGCAGACTCTTAGTAATGCTTTCTTTTGGCTTCTCCGGTGTGCTTGCCCTTTGAGCCATAGGCCAAACGTATGTGTGACTAGTTGTTCTGCCAAGTGGAGATTCTTCTTGTGTTCAAATCTAAGAAAACATCTTAGGTGCCCACGTGCACACAAGTAAAATCATTTGTGCATGTAAGTGTGTGCAGGCTGAACGGTTGTTGGGAGGAAGTGTAGTAGATGAGCATGAAGGGCTATTTAGCCTTACAATTAAAGCATCTGTCTCTACTTTGGATCTCCCCTGGTGAGGTAAGTGGGGAAGCTAAAGATAACAGCACCAAGGGCTCATTAACGTCACTTCAGACATTTCAGACGAGGCACTCTCTCCAAGCCAAGCCTTCTCCTGTCTCATTGAGACTAAAGACACATGCAGAGACACACGTGCATGCTGACCAGCACACTGGCCAAAACACACACACACACATGGAGCCACAAACACATGCACGCTCTGCAGTAGCCTGATAAGCCTCACACCTCACCAATTGGCCCCTGCAAATGTCAAACTGAAGCCATCTCAGTTTAAGGATTGGGAGTGGGAGGGAGTGAATGAATTGAAAATTTCCTTCAGTTTCGTTTGCCTGCGCTGGAGATTACCTAAATTAAAACAAGTTTGCAGTGGAGACATAATCTTTCAAAATCCTTCTACTTATACATGATGAAAAGAGGTACAGTAGAAAATCTCCACAGCCGAGTCCAAGAGCCGAAGCTTACGTCAACAAAAAGCAGCTTACAGCGCATCCCAGAGGAATACCTTCAAACCCTGGACCTGAATAAAGTCGGGGAGGACATGATGTAAAATGTGAGTCAATGGTTCAAGCGTCGCATGCAGTCCAGATGCTGTTTCATCACATATTAAAAAAACGGCCCCAGAGTGTCCTGTTGGGTAGGTTGTTCAGCTGAAGTCACCATCAAAACCAAACACCCCCGAGGAGGGGTTTCTGTCGCTATACAAGCACAATAGCTTGAGTAAGGATCCCCCAGTTTTGCGGGATGAGGCAAAGACGGTGCCTGCCAAGAGAATTTCTCTACGCTTTACGCAAAGGCTTCCACAGATGGTTTTAGGCTTACCCCTGTTTCCTGTGTGACCTCAATAAATGGCTCCAAAAACGATGGGTGGATGGCCAAATATGGGGTTCAGCTTTATCTCTGCAACATGATGCAATAATTACTATTATTTGCTAACATGAGGGCACATATGAAGTCATTTTGTGTACTGGGAAAGTGAAAGAAAAAAAAAAAATTGGAATTCAGGTGCATTTTCATTTGACTCTCCTCACTCATATATTTTAAAATAATAAATACTGTTGAACTTCTGGTCTCTTAAGCGTTTTTATGAAAGAATGTTTTTTGGTGCATTCGTGTTTCTCCCGGAGGGTTTCAGGAAAAGTACAGATGTTGCAGACTCTCGGGCAATGTTCGGTTCCAATGGTTTCAGCAGTCGAAGCTGTTTCTCGCAGTCCGGGAGCGTTTGTCTTTGACATTGTGACATGAAGTCTCTAATTTGAAGATGTGCTCATACACCCTGCAAGGAGAAAGCAGCCTGTGCTAGTGCTCAGCTGCCCCCCTGGCTCGGGTGACCTCTGCTTAGGCACGGACCCTCAGTCTTAATTGTGTCTGGGGGAATTCTGCTGTCTCAAAACAAGCTTAAATTTAGACCGGAGGGCTTCCTGGCCTTCACTGCGTAGAGCAGTTAAACAGAGAACAGGATGCTCTCGCACTGCTCAGCGTGGCAATCTTGTCTCTTCATTTTAATCAACTCTACACCAATTTACACCTCGCGACAAAATGCTGAATTTAATTGAGCTTGAGAGGTAACACTGGACTGGCATTCAGTTTTATTAGCTTCTGTGAACGAGTAAATGTGTATTTGTAACATTGTTTCCATGTTTACATTTTACCCTCAAAACTTTAGTTCCTGAACTCTTAACTTGATGTTTCAAATTAAATAAGAGACAGTTTTGGACTCTACGTGGCCCATGCCAAAGGCAAACTATGTCCAAAGAATTTGATAATATCAAAGTGAGCTTTTAAGAAAACAGAGAAATATATTGCTTTTCACAGTTTAGCCCTGGAAGCTATTTTCCTGTCTCTGACAGTTATGTCGCAGTCCCAACAGAGCCTAATTTGCCCTTGATTACTTGCCGACGCTGATCTAAGCTTTGTCGTGATATGTTATAACACCTGTCCCCTGACTTTTTGACAATAAATCTCAGCGTCTTTACACACATAAGAGGAAACACACATCTCTCCTTTGATTGTGAAACACAAGCATCTCCCGCTCGTCATTTGGCATTTAAGACAGCTGTGATTTCTTCTCCGCTTTCCCTCAGTGATCATCTCTGTGTTGATTGCCTCTCTTGTGTGTAACATTTTCAAGACTAAAGGCTGGTTTCACTGGAAAATTAGAGCTCAAAACAGCTGATGAAAAATTAGATTAGGTGAAATTAATCACATAATGTGTGAGGAAATGCGGAAAAAAAACATTTTTAATGAAAAAAATCATGGACATTAAAAGTAAACACAATCGCAATATACGTTCCTTAATCCCACACCTTTTTAAACTTTGTTTAAAATCACCGTATTTCTCTTTATCAGTTGTGGAAACATACAGAACATTTTAACAGGTGTTGCATGCATAAATTAAATAAATAAATCTTTACAATCGAGCACATTACGTGATATAATTGTACAAGTATTAATCAACAGCTATATTTTTTTAAACAGACACGCAATATGGTGTAGCTACACTACTTTGATTGTGTTCAGACATCAAGCTTCAATATCAAATTTACAGTTTATATACCAACAATATGTCAAATATAATGGGCCGATATGACACGATTTTCAGAATCATCACACTGAGACACAATACAGTTTGCCTGCCATTGAAAAACAATCATACTCTCATTTTGGTGTCCAATTTTTTGACAAATTAGACATTAAACATCTTAACGCACAAACAGCATAAGAAAACATAATTTTAACACAAATCTAAACTGCACGTTTACAAACACTGCAGCCGCCACGACTGTTGGATATCCAGACTTGAAATTGAAATGACGGCTCAAAAATGATTGTGAGGCTTCTTCACTGTCAGAATTGTTACTGCACCTCAGCATGACACATGACGTGACTGTCACCGTTTCGTTGCTTGCGTCCATCAGAATAGCGGCACAGGCACCCTGTATGCAATGGGACATGTGGATGAGGAGGTAGACAGTTACAGATACCCACAGATCCACAGCAGCTGTCACTGTATCAATGCTGACCTCAAACATCTGTAAAACAATCTGACTGTGGATCAGTGGCTATGGGCAACATTAACCTCACTGCGAGAGCCAAGTGAAAGTCAGGTGGTGAACGTCTTCCGGCTGTGACCTTTCACCTCGGAGTCCAGTCTTCAGTCAGCATAGAGGATGAACCCTGAGAAGGTGCTATATTTGTTGCTGTTGCCCCCGTGGGCCTTGCCCCCATCCAATTTTATGAAAACCTCATCGCCTGCATCCAAATGAAGGATGACACTGTTGCTGGCGTAGTCATAACTCTGGTCCTGGTCTTGAGCAATGGAGCTGGCCCTGACCTGGAGTATGACACGCACACACAGACAAGGAGAGAAGAGGTAAGGAAGTGTAAACGGTAGAACGCTGAGGAAAAGATTTACAATGAAGATTTGTTTAATCAACGTACAGACAATAGCAAAATGAATTCATTCATCATCAGAAAATAATGTTAAGAGGACATTACTGAAGTCGATGATGATATTGAAACAAATGGTTAATTTGATGCACGCAAACATTAGCTGACTTGCTGCATCCCCTGCTGACATGATACAACATTTATTTTTATGTGTGAGTTGACTAAAAATCTTATTTTAAGAAAAGCGTATTTGCAAGACATGTGGGCTGAATTTGAGAGTTTGTGTAAAGTGTGTCCCCCGAAGTGAATATCTTTTTTTTCCCTCATGATTCAGCTGAGAGGGTCATGCTTGAGTCGGTCTGCCTCTGAGGAAGGATGGCAGTGCTTACTATCCCTTTCGCCTCGTGTTCTACTCTCACGTTCACCTTTTTCTGATAATGCCATGTTTATCCCAAATATAAGTGTCATCAACGCGGAGTAATTACTGTGAGTGTTAGATCTGGAGCATAACACCCAAATCTCTTCCGCACGTCTGTGTAAAAAGGGAAACTGGGTGAAGTTGCTTTGCATATACAGTTATATCCCCTCTAAGCTTTAGCTAATGTATGATGATCTGTGTTGCCAGGTTGGCTGTTACGCTGCAACTTCATCATACACACCATAAAAGTGTAATCCCTAATTCAACCAGATTCTGGCGACAGGTTCAGAACTAAGTTAGAACCAACATAAGAATATGAAGTTGTTATTAGTGCCGATGCAGAGCAAAAGTGTACGTCAGGGTTTGAGCCACAGATGGATTCCCGAAACATGAGGGCAATGCCGCCTGGACTCCCTTCCCTCCACGTGTATGCCCTCACAGCTCTGCAGCAGCATGATGTCCACCACTCACAAAAAGACTGACTGAGAATAGACTTTACATAAATGCAAAACAACTGCCCAACCTGTACTTTTAACCAGGGATGTGTATAATATAGTGGCTATACTGGCCCAACATCACTTTGCCTCACGGCACCAAATACATCTAATTAATGATTAATGAGTGTTGTTGAGTTTCTCTACATTTTGTTTGCATGTTTTCCTGAAGCCAGGTTTACATGACTGTTCTTAATTAGTCATATAAAGACTGTATATGTGTGTTTGTGTTTTGTAACTATTAGCATCAACCTTGATAGTGTGTATTAAGATTTGGCAACATTTTCAGTCACACTTTAATCTATGTAAAATAATACATGCTCATACTAAGGAATCTATTTAGTAATGATTAGATAATGTGGAGCTCCTAGTTGCTTAAGACAGTGTGAGACTGACTATAGTGAACATTAAACTGTAAACTAACGAATGTATCTTCACATATCATCAAAAAAAGACCTCGATCAGCTTTACAAATATGTCATTCTCCTGGATTGCGTTATAATGTGAAGGTGTTATTGTCTCCACTGGCTGTAGCCTGTTGCAGCCTGGCTGAGATGTCCAGGCTCAGATTTACATGGTGTTTGATTTATGTCATCACCCGGGGCTTTAAAGACATTACAAAAGTTTAGCAAATAGCATGATTCGATATTGAAACGCCTGGACCTGACAGGCAGACTGATAACGCATACTTGCACTTCATGGTTCCAGGAAGTTTGTTGTATTTCAAAGGGCACCTGCTTTGAACTAGCCACTACCCCAGGCTGTGTTTTGATGTGTGCAGAGTTGAGATAGCGCTGCACTCCTTCCACTCACTTCAACGTGTACATCGCTGGATGTGTAATATGCACAGATACACAATCTGGCAACATGCCATTGTGCATTGTCATTATCTTGGACTACAACACCAGACCAAGTCAGATTTAAAATCACTATTCACATGAATGCATGACTACTCAATTTAGAGTGCCAGCACACTGGTTACACTCTTCCCTGAGCATTTGGATTCGGGTTCATCCCAGCGTATGATTCAGGGTTCTTAACTCATGAGGAAGACGTCTTTTCTATTTGTGCTGCCAAGCTGTTATTTTTCCATTTGTCCAATTCAACTTGAAATCATGAAACATTAGGAATTGTTTTGGGAAGGTGTCTGAAGAGTTAAAAGTGTTACCCACCAGACCATTCTTGATCAGGTCAGCCCACATGCTGGTGCCATCTCCTCCCCTCATCAGCACATTGTAGATGAAAAAGTAGGTGCCAGGAATCTTAGAGGTGAACTTGCCGGTTGCGCCCTCATAGTTACCACCGATATTTGTCACCACGTCATCAAATCGTAGAATATCGTAACCTTCTTGAGGGTTTCGTAGTCCTGCATAAAACGCCACCCGAGGCGTGGTGTTGTATGTGGTTGTGCTAACTGCCCCTTTATCCCCTAATCCCAGAATCCCAGTACGCATAATGTCCACACCATCTCCCGGTGGACCCTTGGGTCCTGGTGGGCCTGGCTCTCCAGGTGGTCCTGGGGGTCCAGACTTACCTGGACGTCCTGGTTTGCCTTGTGGGCCATGAGCACTGTAAGTAGGCAGCGGTGGGCCGATGATGTGGTCACTCAGATCCGCATCATTGTCCACCTGTAGACCAGCGGTTGCTGTATCGGTTCCTGCGTTCAAACCTGTGTCCGTCGTGGGGAAGGGGTCACAAACCATGCGGCAGGTACCCAGCATCTCGAAGTGGCTCGCACTGTCATCTACGCCACCTGTGCCAACGGAGCTTACCAGCACAGGGATGAGGACCACCAGAACCAGGACCAGCATGACCCCCACAGCAGCTGCCACCAGGGTCTTCCGCCCGATGCTCAGCCGGGGAAGGGGCTGCGCTGCCAGCGTGGAACTCTCCGGGGTGGAAATGGTGACTGTGGGGAGTGCGTCCACCTGGCAAAACGCAGACACAATGAGGATCTCCGGTGGTGGAGATGGTGCCCAGGGAGAGCTGGCACGAGTGTGAGTGAATGACTGAGCTGTGTAGGAGTAAGGGAGAGGGAGTGGAGCAAGGGAACGAAGTGATCAAAAAGGAGAGGGAGATTGAGAGAGTGAGGAGAGAGAGTAAGAGGAAAGGAGGAGGGAGAGAGTAAGACAGCTTGAGAGAAGGAAAGAAAAAAAAGAAAAGGAGCAAGGGGAGGAGAGAGTGAGCAACATACACCCACTAACCCATCTGAGTCAGGGCTGAGGAGGGCACTCTCCTACTGGCAGATGTGAAAAGCCAGGGAGGACATGAGGAAGAAGTGTGACAGATGGGATCATAATCACTCAATTCATGTTCATTGGATGATGAAGATAGAGATGGAGAGAACAACTTGAGGGACGTTTGCTCAGATGAGAAGGATCTAAATGATGCATTAGCATTGAAATGTAGCCCATATTCTCCATTCTGTGGCCATATTCTTCTTGTTTCAATAATATTAAACAGCTGGCATTGATTTTGTAAACTAATGTAAGAAAGCATTTTATTTTGAGTATACCAGCAGAACTCATATGAGACATCTAATAGTCAGCAGCCACTCCAGGCATAGATATAGATGTATTCTTGTATAGTTTTCTTAGTTTAAGTTTAAAGTTAGTTTTATCAAGGTCAGAATGTGTGTCTTTTTTCCCTTGTATTTGAGTGGGTGTGTCCCGGGAGATCTTGTACACTGGACTGATTCCAAGCATCTGTGGCCAGTCCAGTTGTGACCTTCACAAAAACGGCAAACTTTTGAAGGCGCACTTCAAAAATTTTAAGTAAAATTCAGTTCTCATTCCTATGGATATGATTTTACCCACTAAATTGATTGCTGAGACATGGATCACTAGAACAGGCATCAGTAGAGCAAGGGACACAAGTGGTCCAACAATAAAACTGATTGCAACCAAGTTCCACTGCACACCACTTCAGCTACAATCAAAGGTGATCATTGTGACTATATAGTCTGGATTCTCAGGAGGAGGGCCCTTGAACTTACCACTGCTGTTTTCGTAACATTTCATAAGAAAACTAAGCAAATATGTAACTTTGGGAAGACTTTGTGGAATAAATTATGTTTGCATAGCTGATGCATTTTAGTCTGCTGGTATGGTATTTAGATATCTTTCCATTTAATGCAATTTGGAAGTATAGAGAAAAGCATCTTGGATTTTAATGTTTGTTTTCATAAAGGCATGCTGTAGCCTCAATAAAGCACTGATGCTTTTGTTTTCTAAGAAATGTTCATCTGTAAAGTAGACACAGTACATTTATACATTCTGTATAACAATGATAATTAACCTCCAGTTAACCAATAGATTGAAGTCAGTTACTCGTATACCAGTGTGACTGAAAATGTTGGAATCTCCAGTGATATTAGATTTTCATGAGAGCAGTATGAGCAGAAAGTAGTCCTCCACATTTATGATGCTGCTGTTGTTACAGGACCTGACAATGGTACTGAGTCAGACACCTCGAGCAGCGCTTTCTTGCTGAGTCTCTGGAGCGGATGACAGTTTACACTAAATCAGAGAGATGGCCACAAAGTCAATAAGACGGAAAAGGTCTTTTAGCTTCCTAAATATTTTAGCTTACAAAAACACCACGACAAACAGAAATATAGGAGTGATGCTGGAGCACCTGCCGAGCCCCCCATCACCTCAGAGAACCAAACATAAAGTCAAAACACTGATAAGATACATACTCACATGCTTTAATGACCTGTAAGTTTAACAAAATTGTAAAACAGTAAATATGATATGTCAACCTTCTCTGTAAAGTGCTTCACACAGCGTTACTCTATTTGCATACTTTAGTGCCCTCATGTGGCATTTTAACATTAAATGTTAACTAAATATTTTATCTCCACAAAGCATTGATTCCTTTGCTCTTCCTCTCCTGACCTCACTTCCAATAAAATATTACGGCTGCGGCCTCTTTGGTCAAATAGTTGACCAATCTTATTCACACATGTATTGAAGGGCAAAGTCATGACAGGGTTTTTTAAATTCTTTAATTAAAAATCAAATTCTGACATTTGGGCCCGCTTGTGTAGTAGAAGGATTAAATTATGCCCTCTAAAACTCCATGCAGCATCAGGAGCTGGCTTGCATATTCATATTTAACTGACTGTGTCATTATTAAAACTGTTGGAAGTGAGTGAAGTGGAACTGATCATGTGACCATAGACTGCCATCTATTGGATACGTTTTATTTACTGGGACCTTAAATCTATGCACATAATGTACAGAACCTAACCTCATTATCTAAGAAAGACTAATATTTTTAGTTTTAAAATCGTGATTGTTTTATCGTTTAGCCAAATCATTTAGTCCTCTCATGTGTTGTCCTAAAATTAAACTGCACATCTCTTGTGTTGGATATTTTGCGGTGATGTAATTTTGGCTGCAGCCCCAATCAGCGGTGTCCCTTCAGGTGTCCTCTAGTCACTCTCAAAGGAAATACACCCGCTGTCACATCACTGATTCAAGTTTGGCCAGAAGTGCAACTCTGATAAAAACATTTCAATTCAGAGAAATCAGTGTAAGAGCAATTTGTGCCGTCTGTGAATCTGTGCTGATTCTCCCTTTTAGCTGCAATTTTAAACAACGTCCGGGAGATGGAAAAATTGGTCATAGCCAAAATTGAATGAATGAGTAGGCCATTTTCTCAACATATTTAAAAATAACTTGTGTGGTTTCAAATGTTCTCTGTGTTCCTCGTTTCACTGACTGCATTTACTTCTTTCAACCAGAGGATGGCGCTCACTGCTCACTCCTGTAATGATTAAAAAAGGAAGAAAAGCAGCCAGAAATGAACAACTGGGACAAGGAGGGACTTTATTTAAAACGTGGTGAAGTCTGTCACAACACAATGTTACATTAGGTAACAGTTGCAACCTTTTTGGGTTGTGATGTGATCAAGCATCCAAGAAACAAGATTGCCTATCTCAGTATGTTCTGTGCACTACAAATTGAAGATGTATGGTGTTGAGTTGAGTACACACACCGTTTGCACTGCTAGGACATTAACACACCTCCATGCAGCGGCAGAGACCTGTTTTATCTGCACTACAGTAGGGGAAGGTGCAGACCCCCCGTCTCCAGCAGCCCTGCTCACATTCCAGCATGGACACAGGGGACGGCCTTGTCAGTAAGTGGAGAGCTGAGGAAGCAACAGGCCATCTTTGATGTCTATATCCAGGATGGACTCTGCAGGGTAGTGTGACTTTGGGGAAATGCAGTGTGAACTTTATTTTGTGTCTATTGGTTATTTTTTAAAGGGAAAATCACTTTTTTTTGTTAAGTTTTGCCTCAAAAAAGTATACATAATTGGTTAATTATATTTAGGTGTCTGTGATTGAGATCTAGGCAAACATCCTAGTGTAGAAATCCTGATCTCTTTCGTGTGATTATGTTTCAGTGACATTCGGTATAATAGAAAAGGAAAGCATATCAGCCCCTTGTATGTTTACACAAGGGTTTAAACAGAGTAACTTCCTTGCTTCTTTCTTTTTGGACTCTTCCTTTTTAGGCAATGGGCCGCTGCCTTGCAGTCCCTCTTGGGATTCTGTGGGAATTCCTTAGCTGGTTTACTTGGCAGTTGGTTTTTGAATCCTGAATTATTGTTATTTCAGGGTGTGAGGTTGGGATGGAGAAGGCATTTCATCTTTTTTTCAATGTCTTGTCGAGGCAGTGTCCCGAGTTTGTAAAGTATTATGTGTGGTTGGTGTTATCTTTAATAAGTGGCAAAGGAATTCAGTCTATTTTGCAACATTGCAATTAGTGAAATGACACCACTGGGCAAACATAGTGCAGTGAAGTCTCACTGAAGCTTCCTCTTCATTTTTGTTTAATTCCATTGGATCCTAATTGAGATACAAGCTCTCACGGGCGGTAACAGATTAGTCTGTGATGATAATAATATCCCTGAATAAACATTTTATTATCCGCTTCCATGGTTATACTTAGTATGGTTCAGTTTGTAGTTTATTGGGAATATCCTGTTCTGTCCTGGTTGTTTTCCATGAAGGTCTGAAATCCTATCACAGCTCCACTGTCTGTGCTGGAAGTGCCAAAGCCAAGAGCTTGTCTGGCTAGTAAATTTACAGCGGCTGGAATCTACTCCTCACAAACAGTAGACACATATTTCCCTTTTTAGGGCATGAGAATCTATTACGTAATTTAGGGAGCACCTCGGATCTCTAGCGAACTCGCCTGTGTGGAAGTGGGAGGTGCCGATCCAGAGCGGCATCGGGACCGACCAATCACACGCCCAGGAAGTTGCCTCCTCGCTCGCTGATTGGTCAGAGGGCAGAAAGCTGTGGTTGACGTTTAGGATGCTCTCTGGCTGGGAGTTTTTCACGTTGTCGGTTTCACGGGAGTAGTTGTAGTCTTCATACCGCAGGGGTGAAACTGCCCTGGGACAACAAAAAAAACTAAACTATCGGGAGTATTTGGATTTGTGTAGCGGGAGTTTGGGATTAAAACTACCTTAGGTGGTAGGAGGTTAACTTAATTCTCTCTTAGATAGCGCTATAAAGTTGTCACCATGCCGGTGTTTCACACGAAGACGATAGAAAGTATCCTGGAGCCGGTGGCTCAACAGATCTCCCATCTGGTGATCATGCACGAAGAAGGTGAAGTTGACGGAAAAGCTATCCCAGACCTGACGTCGCCGGTGGCGGCTGTGCAGGCGGCCGTCAGCAACCTTGTTCGTGTGAGTAACTTTGTAAAAATATTGTACTCTGGTAACGCCTGCCTAAACTCTGCGGGTGTTCGAGGCTACCTACCGCTCTTTGTCCCACATAGTCCTAGCTCTGCCTCTATGGTAGCAGAGAAAACATGTATGCATGCTATGAAAGTTTCTTGAAGTTGTTTGACTCGGGGCAAAAGGGCAGTGACGCCCTTTTGCCCCCCTTGAAAAATATGCCCTGCCTCCTCTGTCGCTGACTGCCATATGTCTTGACGTAGGCACTGCTGCAGGTACTGGAGCAGGCTGCAGGGGTTCATGTGTCATTTCTATCAAATGCAGTGCATTTAAAAGAACAGCT